CAAACATTGCATGTATTTTTATCATAACTCTGGTTTTACGTGGCCTATCAACACAATTTAAAAACTGGTATAAAGTCCACACTTTTTCCGTCAATTGTTCCGTCTGTCCTGCTCACATCTAAAATGGTTGTACACGTTGTCATTAACGTGGCTTCACTCCACATCAGCCACGCCGCTTTGCTAGCTAAAACACCGGTGTGGGAACATAAGGACGCTGTCATAGCCTGTCAACGTTGATTAGGTGCGTATGTGAATGCATTGGCTAGACTATGGGATAAGGTGGCATCATTCTAATCCCATACTGGAGCAGCCAGTCACTTACTGACTAACACTGCAGAACAGAATGAATTGTTAACGTATTTATTTTAATTTCAGTTCAGGATAGTTTTTTTTTTGTGCGCAACGCAGATTTTCTGTGCACAGAGACCGTGCCAGCAGTGCGCAATTGCGCATGCGCGCAGCTTAGAGGGAACATTGGTTACTGATAACTGTTGAGTGCTGTTGAGATGGGAGCTTTACTGACCTCTTAAAATTCATCATAAAGAGTTATTCGCTGTTATGAAAGTCAGCTTCAGCTGGTGGTGAGGTCAGCATGAACTGTCTGTCTGCGGCACTGATACTGATCCAAATGAGTATCCAGACCAATAGTAATTTTAGCATTGATTTCTTTTCTTTGTCTACCCTAGTATTGATTGCTTTTGTTTCCACTAGTTTTGAGCAGACATGCACAATTTTAATTTGAGTAAAATGTCATCAAATGCAGGTTGTTTGATGTTTTATAGATTATTATGAACTAATAAACACACTCCTGTGTGATTTTTCAGTTGGGGCATGTGATGGAGGAAAGGTTTCGTTTGCTTTTGCCACTGGATCAGGCTTCAGGTGACATCAGGGATCAGGTTGAAAGACTACAGACATCAGTAAGCACCTATCACACTGTCAGGCAGTATAGCACAATACTTTGAGTCCAGGAGCAAAAGGAAAGCCAGAGCTTTAAGATTTCTGACTTCCACAAGATATGCTCTGTATTATTCAGTATTATTTTTGATGTGGCAGCAGTCACCAGCACCGAGTTCTGTGTGGTTTGTTCTGCACTGTGTGGTGTAAATAACACTGCAGCTTGTAGCTCTTCTTCCCGTCCGTGTTTAGTTGCACTGCTGTGGTCTGTTTGGCTACAAAGACTGGGAGAACAGCATCCCTGATTCCTGCCTGTGCAAACAGGATGTAGAGGAATGTCAGACAGTCAGCTACACAGTGAGTAAAAGAAGCTGAGACACTAATAACTTGCAGAGTTATTGTATTAACTCAGTTTCATGTGAGGTGTTGACGCTTTCTGAAATGGTTCCAACTGAAAGACAAACAAAATGACTCCTGAGTTTGTTTCCTGTGTTTTTAGAACTTCCCGTTGAACCTTTTCTGGCAGAAGAAGTCTGTCTTCACACAGGTGAGAGCTGCTAAATGCTAAAATTAAAGTTATCACTTGATACACAGGTGTGAACATATAAAAAGTGTATACCTTCAACGTTCACATCAAGGCCAATGCTCTCTCTGACAATTTTAAAGAAGTTTTAACAGATATGTGATTATGAAATAATGGAGGTAAGTGTTATCTGTTTCCTGATCCCCTGAAAAAAATTCCTTTTCCTGTCACTGCAGTCAGAGTTTATATGTGTTTGTCTCTCTGTCTTCAGCCCTGCTTTCCCATCATCAGCAGCAGGGTTGTAAGGAATGCCAACATCACCCTGGGCGTGATCTTTGGTCTCTTTGTTCTAACAGTGAGTTATTCATTAAAGTAAAATGTGCTATGTCACCATAGCTCTGCTTTTTTAATGTTTTCTTGCCTTGTATTTAAATCTCCTCCAAAAACGTAAAAAAGCATTTTGAAATGATTTATGTCCACATCTCTGACAGCCCAGGTAATGCTGAATGATGTGTGCTCTTAACAAATACTTAGAAATATTTACAGAGAATGTTTTTTTTTAAAGAAAGAGCTGATTCAGAACTGTGGAAATACACCAACTTTTCAGCACTGGAATAGTAAACTTTTTCCTGCTATGATCCTTTAGCTTGGGTAAACTCATCTTCACCACAGAGTGCATGAGTGACAAACATCATCGTGTCAGTCTTTATTAACTGTTGTTTGTGTGTAGCTCTTCAGCATGGTGCTGTCATCACTGCTGATCTATCAGATGTATAACACGAGCATCAGGTTGAACTGCCAGTGGATGGACCAGCCACCTGCCTACGAGCTGCTGGACGACACGCCAGAGAAGACGCCTTCAGCCTCAAACCCTCCTCACAACTTTCAGTTATAGAGCTGGTGTTAGTCTAAACCACCTATACTAAATCAATCAATTAATCTAATGGGACATGACCTGATAAAGACAGAGGGAATGGACACAGGCTACATATACACTGGGGATAGAAGGGTAATATATCATATATCAGTAATATCATATCTGTGGAATAAAAAAATGAATAAAAAAGGAACCTTCAGATGTTGTTTGGTGACAGAAAATATATATATATATGATTAAATATCAGATAAGCAGATTCAATCTGTTTGTAATCTTTCCTCTGTGCTGAGCTTCGTATCTCCCGCCCCCTCACCGCTTTGAGGGCGAGCTGGAGTTAAGGGAGAGCTGTCATGGTTCTGAGTCTTTGACTCAGCATTTTGAGTTTTGTTCTGGACTTGGTATTTATTTCTTTGAAAGGTTAAAATAATTAATGTTCTAGTTAGTTTGTTATTTATAGTTCTTGATTTTTTGTTTTGTTGTGTTAGTTATCCCTTTATCCCCAGTCCCAGCGTCAGGTTCACATGACTTCGTTTCAGTGTGTGTGTTTGTCAGTTTCTCTGTTGAGTCCTCCCACACATTCCATTTCACAGGACAGCTCTGGTATTTAGTTCCAGGTTTCCCCTCTCTTTCCCATATTTTCTTACTATTAACAGTTCATTTGCTACAGCGAGACATAGTCTGATGAACTGCCAGCAACCACAAAAGCACTTTGTGTCAACTCGTGTTATTCCCAAGTATAGTGTATTAATAAAAGTGTTTAGGCTACTGTACATGAAAAAGTAGCCAATTAGTAAAACAGTTATTTTGAAAAAGGAGAGCAAAAGAATATAAAATGACAAGAATACTTATCATTTCCTTTTCTCATTACTGGTCTGTTTTCCTCAAAGCTGCATATTGTGTAACAATGACCACAGACTCAGTGGATTTTTTTCTGCACTGTTTTTACACACTCAAAAAAAAAACAGCCTATACGGCTGTTGATGTTTAAGGTCTGGGAAAGCTTTTATAAATTCTCTCTCTCTTCCAACGAAAGTAAAACTCCTGGAAGCAAAATGAGTCACAGCTAGATGTTTAAACTGCGTGCACGTGAGCCCAACAACGTCCATACAGCTTTTCTCTCCGGCTCAGCAGCAAAAATTTTCCACTGCTGCTCCTGGTGCCAAAACATTGCGTTTGTGTGTGTGTGTGTGTGTTATGCCTAATATATTTGCTTGTATTGATAAATAGTTTGTAGTGAACAGGATTTAAGATAAGAGTATAACATAAAGAAATAGAAATATTAAATATCTTTATGACTCTCTCTTATTGACCGGTCACGCAGTCACACCAAAATAATTTGCGCACCTATACGGTTCAATATACCAGCGCAATTCATCATGGTGCCTTTAAGGGCACCTCGTAAATTCAGGAATACTGCAGCCATATAACTTGAAAACAATCACACGTGTATCCAAAAACATTTTTAATAACAGTGTGGTGGTGTTTGCAGAAAACAAGTTGTGATATCCTAAGACCAAGGAACCACGGAGACCATGTTTAGCTCACAGTTGCTTCTTTATTAAGAGAACCGGGGCATGCACCCCCACAGACTGAAAGCTCCCCAACCACTGTTGCCCCCTGGTGGACAAATCCCTGCCACAACATAACACAAGTTTTAAATTTTTTCTTTGAATTTGTGCTCATGCTGCAGTGATTTCTAGGATGTAATCATTTCAAAATGTTGCAGTTGTAAAAATCCGTAAATGATCACTGTCAGCTTGCCTGCTGTGACAAACTGAACAAGAATATAAGGTTAATAATTAATGGCGGCTGATAACCGCTTGGTTGTTAGATCCTTTGAAGTGTGTAACTATGTCTGTATATTAGTGTGTACTTTGTATTTTCATTTTATTTTTTAAAAAAAATGAAGGTTATTACAAACAGTCCTGTTGATGTGTTAAATAAAAAAAATGAAATTTGGTGGTAAAAATGAAATATTTAGAAGCTACCTTATTGATTTTAGCATTAAATTATAATAAACTTTATCAACAGGAACACCAAAATGGTTATAGATATGTTTATCCCAGCAAAGGGAAATAAATCCCCCAGAAAAGCCTTGTAAGCGATCTTGCAGTTTGGATTACAGAATTTAAGAGGTTCACCTAAAGGCACCATGACGAACTGCGAACGCATATTGAACCGTAAAAAACCTTGTAGGTGCGCAAGTTATAATCACGAGGGGATGGTTGCGGTCGTACATAACCTGTGTTCCACATCAGGCACGTACTGGTGGGGAGCGGAAGGGGCTTGAGCGCCTGCCCCTTTCCTGATGGGTGCCCCAAGTGCCCTTTTCTTGAGGCAAATTTTTATTTAAAAAATGCAATCTTTTCATTCTAACATTTTCTATCGTCTAATGAGCTTAGAAAGCATCTGGACTTCGTTAGTTTTCTTGAAGACGTTTCGACTCTCATCCGAGAAGCTTCTTCAGTTCCAAGAGCAAATGGTGGAGAGTCCCAGATTTGGAGCCCTATGCTAGTGTCCCCCATTTTCTATCATTACTTTATTAAGGATTAGGTGCAAGAGTTGTTAAGTGTGGATAATTAAATAATAGATTAATGCAATAGCAAATTGTGCCTTGCTCTCAGGTGAACAGCAAGTGGAGAGTGATAGATGAGATGAGGAGATGGAAGAAGGAAGAGAGGCAAAATGTGATTCCCAGGCAGAGCCTAGTTTATTTCTCACAGTTCTTTTTAACCTGTTGCCTTACGGTTCCAAGCGCTGTCACCAATCTTTGCATTTTAGTATCATCTCATGAGCTACCATCTCTCCTATGGGCAGGGACGTGCAGAGAGGTTTAAAGGGG